AGGCAATTTATAATTTGTTTAAAAATAATAGATTTTCCCTGCTAGCTGTATGTATATATGGTATGTATATTTTAGGGCTACAACTATAATAATAATAATAAAAAAAAGCTTTTCAAAAACTGCTCATGTTAATTAGTTCATAATACTGTTACTAAGTCTTGTTTGCAATTTAAAGCTTAAGTTTAAACTGTTTAAACTTAAACTGTTTAAACTGAATGTTTAGTACTTTAAATATTTTTAAACATTTGTCTTCTTTGTATTAAACAATTGGTTTAATGAAACAAATTTTAAAATAATAAACAATTTGCTTAATAAAACACTATTAAAAATTATTAAATTTACATGAAAAAAGATTTTTAATAAACCTATATATATATATATATATATATATATATATATATATATATATATATATATATATATATATATATATATATATATATATATATATATATATATATATATATATATATATATATATATATAATATATAATTATATATATAAATATAAAAAAATATATATATATATATATATATAATATATATATATATATATATATATATATATATATATATATATATATCTATATATAAAAATATATATATATATATATATATATATATATATATGTATATATATATATATATATATATATATATATATATATATATATATATATATATTTTTTTAATAATCTTGTTACAAAAAAAAAGCCCAAGCGCTCAATTAGTAATTTTTAATTTATCTATAAACCAATTATTCATTTATTTGCAATTTGCTACAAAACTTATGAGAAAATAAGTAATAAGACTTAAAGAAAAATAAAACAAGTTAAGTGCAGATGAAAGAAAAACTGTTCATAGTCAAAAATATAATTTATTTTATATTATTATATTATTAACAAAATAAAACATCAAGTTTTATATTAAAATAGAAATATAAAAAAAGAACTTTAATCATTTAAGAAAATAGGATTTTTTTTAAGAAACAAAAAACTGTTAAATCAGAAAAATTACTGATTTCTAATAATATGCAATAATTATTAGATAAATTATAACTACGATAAATTTTATATATACTCGAATATATTATAAGTAGCAGAATTAATAATATTATATAATAATTTGTAATACAGAAATAATAGTATGTGAAAATTTATTTTCATCCATTAATTTTAACATTTCTGTCTTTGTATGTAAGGTATTATATCATTAAAAATGATATGATTCATTTTTTAATATAATAATTTAATATAAAGATTTTATTTAAGTATGAGAAAATAAATGGTAAACTCTGATAACAGGCGCAAAGTGCTCAGCTTAGCACCTGTTAATACTTCCAATTATCAGTATACTAAAGTAGGATTGGAATTAGATTTGAAGGATAAGGTCTTATATGAATAAGAATATTTAATAAGAATATATTATCATAAAAGTGATAACTGTTATAAACATTAACACATTTAAAAATTACGGTAAATAATAGTATCTGCGTTTGTTTTCCAGAACAATAATTTATGAAAAGCAAGAGATATAAAATACAATGTTGCGTATGCAAAGCAGTTTTTAACAAAGACTATAAAAATTTCAGTCATGAAAGATTCGTTCATAGTGGTAAAAAATTTCATATACAAACAGTGGGAGCCCTAGAGAATCATTTTGTAGCCTCCTTAGCTTCAAAAAAACGAAAAATCGAACATCAGAATGCTGATAACGATGTTGAAGTGGATGATGAAATACAAAGTAGTGAACATACAAAGTTAGAAGACATAATAATAATTGAAACATCAACTTCAACATGTCCAGAGAAGAAGAACATATCCAGAGAAGCATATCCAGAGAAGCATATCCAGAGAATCCAGAGAAACATATCCAGAGAAAAAGAAACAACATTTTCTGATAAAAAAATTGAAGAGGATGCAAGTTTAGAATTTCAAGATAAGGACGCAGAAGGAAAAAAACCCAGGTTATATTGTTGTCCAGTAACAAGCAGAGAAATTTACAGAATTAAATTCTAAATCAGATTCATTACACCAGTTTTCCGGCCGATAAATAAAGGATGACACGAATATTATTAACTTGGACACTACTGAAGTTAGCAGTGAAATAACATATTGGCCTTCTCTCATAGGAAATTTAGGTGTTTTAATAGAAATGACATTTATAAAAAATATTGTAAAAAAAGAATTAGTAGATTAAAAATTCGCTGAATTGAAAATTTAAAAGAAACAAGTTCTGTGTTGGAAATGTCAAAAAATGTTTTAGAAACAGGAAATGCTTTTATAAGAAAACTCAATATCAAAGCTCAAAATATTATAATTGAAAAATCAGATTCATCAGTATTGATAAGCCATGACCCAAGTTTACGTCCACATACAATTACATACAATCAAAAAATGTATTTACTGCAGTTAGGGATGCACCATCCAAAATATTATAATTGACAAATCAGATTCATCAGTATTGATAAGCCATGACCTAGGTTTACGTCCACATACAATTACATTCAATCAAAAATTGTATTTACTGCAGTTAGGGCCACAACAACCAAAGTTTCCCATGTGATGGTAAAAAAAGATTCAATCCCCAGTGGTAAAAAGAGTTTGAACATTTAGAATATAGCACCGAGAATGATGCCAAGTTTTGTTTTGTTTGCTGTCTTTTCCCCGAGAGTGTTGGAAAAAAGAACTGTTTAACGTCCTCAAACAGTTGCATGTTTTCTTCACATCCAGCACAAAAAGGTTTCGTCATTTAAAGGAAAAACTTAAAGACAATGACAATGAAATACAGCTTGTAAACTTGTCTAAAACAAGATGGACCACACAAGCAAAGTCTGTCAAGGCTCTAAACCAGTGTTTAGAGAAGGTTATTGATCTTCTTCAGAGCATTTTAAATAATAAAACTTTTGATACTAATACAAGAACTAAGGCGATGGGACTTCTGAAAAAAGTAGCAACTTTTGATCTTATTATTACTCTTTTCTTTATGAAGAATATTATTTTATCTTAATATTTTATGTTAATATTTTTATCTTCATTGAGAAGATAAAAATATTAACAGAAATCCTAGAAAGCCCAAACCTCAATGTCATTGACAGTATTAATGTAATTGAAAGCACTGCCAAGAACCTACAAAATATCAGTAACGACACAGATGCTATAAATGATATGATTCAAAGTGCAGTGATATATATATATATATATATATATATATATATATATATATATATATATATATATATATATATATATGTATATATATATATATATATATATATATATATATATATATATATATATATATTATATATATATATATATATATATATATATATATATATATGTATATATATATATATATATATATATATATATATATATATATATATATATATATATGTATATATATATTTATATATATATATATATATATATATATATATATATATATATATATATATATATATATATATATATATATATATATATATATATATATATATTTATTTATTTATACATATATGTGTGTGTGTGTGTGTTTGTCTGTGTGTAAACCCATAAAACTAAAAATAATAAAATAGTTAGCAACCCTTGGCCTCAATCATTTAGAGGTCGATACAAACTTTATATCTTTTTAGATCAATCATTTAGAGATCGATACAATCATTTAGAAGTTGATACAAAGGTCTTACCATAAAGCATAAATGAGGTCAGCAAAAAATTACAGACCTCAAACATTTTTAGGTTAACATTGCTGAATGCTGACCCTAAATCTGAGTACTGTATATGAGAAATCTGAGCGTAGTTCTTTTAACTATCAGATTAAACTTGTTTGGATATTGGATTTAAAGTAGATCCAAAACAGTCAACACAAATAAACAATTGCAAAGATTGTTTGCATTTTTTTAATTGCATCTTGGTATTAAAATTGAAAAATATTAGTCACATAATTAACGGTTTGACATTAATTATGTAGTTAAAGGAATAAAAGGATTCACTCACAAGCTTACTTTGATAATTACTTTGAAACTTAAAAAATTTGAAATTTTTTTTTTCTAATTTCTTCTAAAACTGATACATCTTATTTAAAAATAATGCATTAAAAGAATTTGAATCAGCATTCAATACCAAACTATCAGTTGTGCCTCAAGTATAACATAAAGTATATAATATTTTATTATCTTAGGCGCTACTATGGTGATGTGTCAAAAAATATTATGTTTAAACAATTAATTTTATTAAGTTGACCAGTCTTATTCCGCTTCTAATTTAAAAGAGTATATTAATTTCTTGCTTTTTTTTTGCAGGTTTTTCTTTTATTTGTTTAAAATTTGTTTCTTTTTTCAGTATTTTCATTATTTTTCTTTTCAGTATATCAGTGTTTCTCTTTTCTCTTATTTTCAATCTTATCTTCAGTTCAGTTTGGTTTGTTCTTGGCATTTTTGAAACATGCAAATTATCAAAAAACACAAAGTGTTGTTGTCAAGTTGTTAAAATAAAATATTATATGTATGTCCATGAGAATTAGCCAGAAATAACTTTTTTACGGTGTTTTTGGGTTATTGGGAATATTTATTGATATTGTTCTATAAAATATTGGGCTTTTTATTTATACTGTCTTATTATAACTAAATATTAAAATGGTTATTGAATTTTAAGTATTTTAAACCCATTAGGAATTCTGCAGTATAAGTGATGTCATACGACTGGCTAACACCCTGTGTTCATGTAAGGCATGTGATGGCATAAATCTTACAAGAGGCAATTTTTGTAAAAGTCATATTATTATGAGTATAATAGATTTTTACATTTAATTTAATTTTCTGTTAATGTCAAGCACCTATGGTTACATGACATATTACATTTTTTTTTATGTGCAGTTTGACATGAGTTTGATATTATAGTGATGTAAATAATATATACCTGAATTTTTTTTGTACTTACTTGTAGTCACAATTGCTTGTCAGTTATTTTATTGGAATAAATTTTTTTAGATATGACGGAATAGATTTTGTTTTGTGTGAACAAACAAGCAAAGATATTAAAATAGGTGAGAACTTATTTTTTTGTTTATAACAAAAATCAAAAAAAAAATCAATACTTTATGATTACAACTTTAACTAAGATGAAACTTTTTTCAGCCGATTCTTGTACCAATAACCTAGGTCTTTCTGTATTTATGAATGGAAATGTACTTGATGAATCATCTACCTTTTCTCTTCTATAATTAACTCTTACTTTCAATCTTTCTTAAAAACCATAATGTTGCTCTTTTTTCCCTTTTCTATAAATAATATAATGGACACTGCTCTAAAGAGCTACCTACTAAAATTTATTGCTATATAAACTTTATCTTTTTTCTTCCTGTATCTTCCAACTCAAATAGTGGTTGTTTGCAGCCTTGTTAGAATTGTAGATGTTAAAAAAAATTTAAGATATAAAAGAAAAAACTGATTTGGAAAATATTCCTTTCTAATTTATAAACTAATTTTTTTAATTTATAAATAATCATTTTTTTGTTGTTGATTTTATTACAATTGTATTAAACATAATACAAGAAAAAATCAATTCTTTTACTTGAACAGTTAATTAAGTGGCAGCAAAACTTCTTGGATCTTCTTGGAGACAGAGGCTCCAAGAAAATCCTGAAAGAATTTTTGAGGGTGAACCTTGATCTTTTCTGCAAAGTCATCAATAATTATTATGAATCCATATTTTTGTTTTAGTTGTTTTAGTTACTCTGATTGAAAGTGGGCAATAAAATAGTAACTCTTGTTTTAAAAGCTTGCAGCTTTTAAAACAAGATACTATTAGTCCTATAGAATTCAGAATTTCTGCTATCAAATTCAATAGTGTTGTGCAATCTATAGTTTCCCAATTTGTATTGTATTTTGCTTGTAGTTCATTTCAAAATCATCTCATACAAGTAACTTTTTATCATAAATATCATCACACTGTGCAAGCATTCATTTATTTATTTTTTACTGAACAAACTAGATTTTTGAAAAAATCAAACTTTGTAACTAGATTCTTACATGTTTTACCTAAATTTATGGCATCCGCTAGCAATATGGCAATTTGGTGATAAGAACAAACACAAATAGTCATAGGCGCTGGAAGTGTTTAAAGACTGGGGGAGCAGAAATGGGTGAGGCCCGGGAAGGGGTACCCCTCCCTTAATGGGGTGTTTGGGGTGCATTATCTTACTAAAATTTTTTTAGGCATAATTAACCCTGCTTAATGCAGATTTGCAATCCTTTTTAAATCATAATTTTTATATATTTGGTTTAAAACAAAATTTACCAAAAGAAACAACTGTGGAAGCAGTTGCAGCTGTAACTGCAACATAGAAATATTGACATTATTTGGCAAATTTTTTAGTGGCATGCTGGCTAGTGTGGCGGTATTACTTGTAAATGTGCATGAATCTATCAAAATAGCTTCTGTGCTTGCAATTTTATGCAATCCTTCTTGGTTAAAACGGCGCTGCAGTTCTGCAACTGAGCGGTCAATGGCTTCGAAGAAACTTTTCTTCCAGATAAGATCTGTAGTTAATTGTTCCACATTACGGCTTTGAGCTCCTTGCGAAAAACAAGCAGGAACATTAACTGTGGATCTACGCTGTGCCTTAGGCAGTTCGAGATTCAATGTGGTAGCTTTCTCAATGGCCTTCTTGCAAAATTCTGAAGCAAATTAATCACTACTAAAGTCTTGAAGTTGAGCCAGAAGGAGTTGAACACAGTTTTTAGTTGATGGGATCTGTAAAGCTTTGGTTACCGATTCAAATTTGGAAAACAGAGCATCACATAATAGGACTCCATAAAAGGTTTGTGCCTTAGAAAGTTGTTTAGCTAAGCCTGAGATTTTAGCCCTTGCATCAACACGTACTGACCTGTCGCTTGCTAGTTGAGTCAATGTTTCATAAACTTCTCTAATTTTTCATAAACTTCTGCCATAATTCTACTAATGGCTTTTGCCCTAATGCACCATCGAGTTGGACATAAGCTGACCAAGTTCAGAACAACATCTGAACCAAACAAAGATTCATATGATGCCTTTCTCATTGAAGACTCTCTTATGATTGTTCCAACATCACGCACAAATTGAATTGTGTCAATAGCCATTTCTACTTTAGAGCAGACCTCTTGTAAAACAAGATCCAACGAATGATTTGGGCAGTGAACATACACTGCCTGTGGGTAAGTTCCTCCGAGACGAGCTCTTACTCCAGATAAGTTTCCACTCATGCTACTCGCTCCATGCATAGCTAACTAGTTTATTCATGGGTATTGTGCAGCAGGTAAACACATCAATTATGGCATTAAACAATAGCAGTGCTGTTCTAGCAATTGTTACAGCAGTGCTGTTCTGGCAATTGTAGAAACCCATAAAGCATTCCTGTACTTTTAAGTTAGGGTCTGCACACTGTATGCTGATAGAAAAATGCTCATGACCCGCCACATCTGTAGTTCCATCAGCTGTAAGGCCAAGATATAAGCACTGTGATATATTAGTGACAATGCTTCGTTGAACTGAATGTGCAAACATTTTGTATTGTGTTTGTTATCCATGTGTTGTGTTTGTTTAACAACTCTTTCACGGAGGGTACATCTTTTACCCGTTTTAGTACAAGCTGCCATAGATTTCCATCATGATGTTTTCCTCCTCTCAATGCCAGACCCTGTCGTCCTAAATATTTAATGCTTGAAAATATTACTTTCAAAACAGTTCGAGCGATGGCCTGAGATGATGACACTTGTTCACTCAAAATAGCAAAAAGGAGTCTGTTTGGAATACAGTACTTTCTCTGTAGCTTCTTTGTGGCGGATGACTTTTCATGAATTGAAAATTTTTTGGTTCCTTTTTTCTAATTGGAAAAGCCAATATGCAAAAGTTCTTTCAAAAAATCCGCTGTTAGGGGAATAGTGACATTTTGGCAAGGTGGGACAGAAAATTTTCACTGCCCCGGTGCAGAAATGTTGGGTGGGCAGTTGCCTATTCTGCACCCTATGTTCCAGCACCTATACAAACAGTATGTATATCATCTGCACCTGGCATTTTGGTCAAAATGCATATTTTGAGCAGATTATTTGTATTTCTGGATTGTTTTCTTTGTATAATACATATATAAATTACACATAGTTCATATAGTACATATAAAATACATATAGTTCCGACAAATTACACAAAAGGAGTTGAAGGAATTTTCATATTTTTGTAAGACTTCATGAAAAGAAGAAATAGCTTGTAATCCGTTTTCATTTAAAATCCCTTTTTGCCTGTTATTTGTTATTTCTTCCAAGCAATGTTTGAACTTCTTCTAATTGTAAGTTTTGACTCATTTTAACTATGCCAAGATTGAGTTACATAAAGTCCTTACATTTGCCTAAAGCTGTTCTCACACTTGTGTAAAACTTTATTTTGTTATGTTTTTAAAGAACAATAATAAAATATTTAAATTTTACTGCAACTTTTTTGTTTTTTTATTTGTATGGAATGGATCACAATAAGTTTGCATAGGATTAGGGATGTACCAGAACGCCGTTCACACCTGAATTCTGGCCGGAATTCTGGCCAGATTTTGTGATTTTTAGATTATTCCGGTTCCAGCCAGGATTTCAATATTTCCGGCTAGAGCGCCAGATTTTTTTTTACTTTTTTTATTTAAGACATGTGATACAGACTGTGTAAATTGAATCAAAAAATCATTGTCCTACAGGGCAATGAAGAACTATGAGTAAACTTATGTAAAAAATACAAAATTCTTAACATTTACAATGTAATTTTATTTAAAGCTACAGTTTAGCGCTCTAAAGTAATTTAATTTTCTTTGCTTGTTGCACTGTCGTAAGTGGAGAGTTTTTAAACATTATAAATTTTAATTGAAATAATAAAAGAAAAAGATTGTTGCAATATGCCAAATCTTCAGTCAATGTAGCAGCACTTCCTTGTAGTAGGAGGGTATAAGAAAATAGATGTAGTAGCACTCCTTTGTAGCAGCAGGCTATAAAATAATGGATGTAGCAGCACTCTCTTGTAGCAGCAGGCTTTAAGATAGTTGATGTATGTACTACAGCCAATAAAGATTTTTTATGTTTATATTAAAAAGCCACTATTATGAGTATGTCTCCACAAGAAAGCGCAGCAAACGATAAAATAAAATTATTTTAAGCCACATGTCTATAGCTTTTTCTAATTTTATTAAGCGCTTATGTAACGATTTCTGAAAGTTTAGAAATACTGTGGTGGAAAAAGAGTTGCTATCCAGTTTTGGGCAACAAATAAGCTCTTTTTTCATCAAAAATGTTACCTGTTTCTGATAATAGTCTCATTTTTAATGTTTCTCAACTTTTAAATAGTTAAACATTAAAGGATGCCTAATACAGTAAATATTTCATATATATATATATATATATATATATATATATATATATATATATATATATATATATATATATATATATATATATATGTATATATTGAAATATACATATATATATATATATATATATATATATATATATATATATATATATATATATATATATATATACATATATATATATATATATATATATATATATTATATATATACATATAAATATATATATATATATATATATATATATATATATATATATATATATATATATATATATATATATATATATATACACACATATATATATATATATATATATATATATACAGTCACGGACAAAATTAAGTAACATTGTTGATAAAATTGATACTCTAACAATACAAACAAAGTTATTTACGTCAAGATCTACATAACTGCAATAATTTTATGTTTTTTTTTAAATTTGATTCCTAAGAATAATAAATACATTTATAACTTTTTATAATTCCTTGCAAAAGTTAATCTATTAAACAAAATTAGCTCACAAATTTTTTTTTAAAAAATAAATGTGACAAAAGTAAGAAACATTATGAAATTTTATTATGAAACATTATGAGTTTTTATTATGGAATATAATGTTTTGTCAATAGCTATTTATAAAAATGATTATTATTAAAGAGATTTTGTTA